ATGACTACTGAAATAAACTAGCTATGGATAATTTAGCTAAACAGTAACTAAGTAAACAACATCAAGCTGGAAAGATACCAGATGACAGAAAGCACAGTAACTCTTAGAATCAAACATCCTTGGAATAAAATATGATTCCAATTACGAATTTGAAATCCCTTGCGGGCTGTTTCTTAAATTTTGCCTGGAATAACCACTGAGACTGAACATAATTTACAGGAATACAAACTAATTAAATAAAACAGCCCACTTTAAACCAGACTCCAAAGTAGATTACATTAAAAAGAAGAAAAAAATTAGAAAAAAAATCAAAAACTATAACGTAATTTGGCTCTTTCCTGCTAGAAAGCACTTGAAACAAGTGAACCGTAAGAAAGGATAAGACTCAACAGAACAAGAGTAAGAACATCCTTCTAAAGTCAGCAAGATGAAATAAAAAAAAAAATTAGGCCGGGGAACAGACTCTTACTGGCAAAATCTATCAGGATGCACAAGAGGTTCCCAGAGGAAGTATTTGTGTCCCACTATTTCAGACAGCAGGAACACTGACCTCAGGCCCTACTGTCACTAGGGCCTAGACCATATAACCCCACTGAGATCTACCCAGACCGCTGGGCTGCTGTACAGGCAGGACAGGAGCTGCTCCCAGCATTAACAAAGAATTAAGAAGAATTCAGATATGGTACAACTTCAACTCTGATTTACAGATACCTCCTGCTCACCCAATTCAGGCACAGTTCTGAAATCTGGGTCACCCATACATTATTCCTCCAAAACAAGCCACCTCCCCCCCCGTGCAACCCTTTTAAAGGACTCTGCCCTTATCCAAGCCATCTCCAAGTCATTTAGATTATGAGGAACTCCAGAACACCAGAGAATCAGGTCACAAAACTTCCAACAACAAGTTACAGATGTGGCTTGGTCCAAGAGGAACAGGCTTCTCAAGGAGAAGCCAACAGCATCCACATCCAGTCTGCAACAAGTCAACACCAACGAATTGAGCTCAGATCTCCTCCTCGGACCCTGTAATCCCTACCAGGTTTGATCCAGGTTTTGGCCAACATCTGGGAATACACGAAGCATCAAGCGTGAGGACAAACATGGGTGGTGGAAGCAGGACGGGTCAGGAGAGAGCCGTGGGAGCTCGGAATCCCCCGCAGCAGGTTGTTTGGGGCGCTGGGGTTGCCATCGGAGTTGCTGCGGTGGCCGGGACTGCGGGAAGGAGGCAGGAAGCGAGCAGCGGGCAGGGATCTCGCCTCGCGTTCCTCTGCCTTCCCTCCGTGACAGGCCATAAAAGTCACGAGGCGAGGAGGAAAAACAACGAAGTGTCCAGAGTTCACCCTCGCGGCTCCCGGGCCGCGGCTCCCGGCGGGAGCTGGAAAACCCAAGCGAGCACACCGTGGGATCTCGCTCCTGCGTGGGAGGCACCACCATTTCTGCGGGAAGAGGCTCGGGCTGCTTGGCAGCCGAGCCTGGGACCGGGCCTGCGCTGCGGGCCCTCCCCGCTGCCGCCGGCGGGCGGGGGGGAGCGGCGGGGCGGGCGCTGCCGTCGGGGCGCGGAGCCCCCGCGGAGGATGCGGGACCCCCGTGCGGAGGATGCGGACCCCGGCGCTGCCCCGGGGCGGGCGGGCAGCCGCGCCCTTGGCCGCCTCTTGGCGGGCACCGGGGCTCCCGCAGCGCCCCCGCGGCGGGGGGGGCTCCGCGCCCCGACGGCACCCGCACCGCGCACCCGCACCGGGAGGAGCGAGCAGCTCCTTCCCCGGAGCTCCCCTCCTCCCGTCCCCCCTCGGGTCCTAAAATGGTGGGTCGGCCGCCCTGCCTCCCCTTTCCTTCCCCCCTTGTCCCCCCCCTCCGCCCCGCGCTCCCCCGAGCCCGCCCGTCGCCCCCGCCCCGGCCCCGCGGGGCAGCCGCCCCTCCGTCCGTGCGCCCCGGCCCGGGCTCTGCGGGGATCCGGCGCCAGGCCCGCGCCTATCCCGGGAACACCGATCCCGGGAACACAGCAACGCCTCTCCCGGGAATACGGCAACGCCTCCCCCCCCCCCCCCCCCCTTACCCGCCCCCGGCTCGCCTCGCGGGGCCGGGGCCAGCGCTGCCCCCCCCGGCGCCCCTCGGCCGCCGCCCGCCCTCCCGCCGCCCTGCGCGGGGCCGCAGGTGTGTCATGAGCGCCGAGCGGGCCCAGGTGAGCCGGGCACACCTACAGGAAGGCAGGCGGGCCGCCCTGATTGGCGAGCGGGGCCGCGGCCGCGCTCCGACGGCACCGCGGCGGGGCAGGGCCGGGCCGGGCCGGGCAGGGCGGCCGAGGGGCCGCCGCGGGACACGGCGCGTCCTGTGCCCGCTCCTGTCCCCGCTCCTGTCCCCGCTCCTGCGCCCGGCCGGGAAAAGCCGCCCCCGACGCGTCCGAGCGCAAGGTATTTTCCTTCCTTTTTTTTTTTTTTTTTTTTAATTGAATAATATGAATGTGGGTGAAGGGCCTGGAGGGGAAGCCGTACGGGTGGCTGAGGGCACTTGGTGTGTTCAGCCCGGAGGAGAGAGCACTGTCCCTGAGGACAGACCTCACAGCATCTGCAGCTTCCTCACGAGGGGCCGCGGAGGGGCAGGCACTGACCTCTGCTCTATGAGCAGGGACAGGACCCGAGGGAACGGCTGGAGCTGTGTCAGGGGAGGGTCAGGTTGGATATTCGGAAAAGTTTTTTCCCCCAGAGCACTGAACAGGCTCCCCAGGGTAGTGGGCACAGCACCAAGGCTGACAGAGCTCAAGGAGCGTTTGGACAATGCTCTCAGGCACATGGTGTGACTCTTGGGGATGATCCTGTGCTGGGCTAAGAGCTGGACTCGGTGTTCCTTCCAGTTCAGAATATTCTGTGATTCTGTAATAACTGCATCCTCCCCCTGGGTTTGGGCAAGGGGAGAAAGCTTGGTTGCTTTGCCTCCAGGGTGCACCTGACCCACTTGATCCCGACTCAAGAAACAGAGGGGCTTTTTATTTTTTAAGTTTCCTTCATTAGCTGAGTCTCTTGTTTTCCCTCTCCTTAGCTGTACATGCGTGAAGACCTTGTGTTTCCTCCCAACAGGCAGCCGGGGTTTTAAGGAAAAGTGCCGGGTTGTCCCAGACTTTACAGGATTACAGGATCCCAGGATTACATCTGAGATCGTCAGATAAATGTAAATGAATGAAACATCTGAATTTAGAAGAAACTGAGTGGGACGTGGGTAAAAAAACTCTGTAGGCTGCATTAAAAAGCTGAATCCGCAGCTCAAATTCTTGGGTATTCTCTCCTAGGTACACTGGTAAATATCTTGAGCAGCCCTGCCTGCATCTAAGCTTTGTTTGGCTGTGCTCAGCTGTGGACTGAAAGGAGACAGCACATCAGTTCCCAGTAAAGGTGATTCTGTCCCTGTCTGCCTGTTTGACTGCAGTGACAGGGGTTCACAGCCCGTAGGGAGATTTCCCCCACATGGGAGAGTGGAACAGAGCCTGGCAGAGAAAAGGCACAAATAAAGGGAAAGAAGAAGGGAGGAGGACAACTAGATACAAGACAGTATGTGTTTGGGATGTCTGGGAGTAGCAGGAAAAAGGGAAACCCTAACACAGCTGATTATTGTGATCATGGAAAAAAAAGGGCGAATTCAGAAGTTTTAGGGTTGCTTGGCGTTTCCATTTTATGGCAAAATAAACAGAGTAGGTTGCTTTGTTTTTCACTGTCCCAGTTTTACTAATTGCAGTACAGATGCCTGGATTTGCTTAAAGGGGTACAGGATTTATATAAGGATGCACTTTCCTTCAGCATAGATCTTTGCTGATCAAGAATGCAAGGGTGTGCAAAGAATTATGCTCAACAGGTGACTGAGGATGGCTTCACCTGTATTTTCTGTCTCCTCAAATTGATATCCAGAGTCATCTCTTTGATAAGTCTCTCCTTTTTTTTTTTCCCCTAATCATTTCCTGAGGCTTGCACAGGTGTGTGTCCTCCAGGATGTGCTCTGAAGAGTTCAGCAAAAGAGAGGAGAGAGCTTGGCCTGACCAGGGACATCGTACTCGTGCTGCTGCCTTCTGATTCCATAACTCCTTTGTGTGGATGACTTTTTCCAGCAGAGTGGATCAGCTTCTGCCATTGAGATTCCTATTCCACATCACTGTGTTTATAGTCAACAGTGAGGAAAGGGATACTTCAAATTCCCAAAGGTCACAAAATACTGGGAAATCAACTCTGAATCATGTCTCTCTTACGTTGGTGCTCAAACTTCTGGGACATTACATAAATAGGTGATGCTTCTTCCTACTGCATTTTAGAAGTTCCTAGCAGCCGGCAGTAGGCTGGAATTCCTCATCCTGACTGGAAAACAGCACCTCTGTCATTCGGAAAAGGGCAGCTCATTGTCTAAGAAGGGCTTAATCTTTACACCTGTCCTTGCACCTCCAGCATCTGCAGAGGCAATTTTCTTCTTGCTTTTGTGAATCATATCCCGAGATACCTTGCTTTCTCTGGCCATTGCACAGAGAGTTTGAATGCCTGACTTTTCTTCATGCCTTACTTGGATTGAAAAGTGCCTGAAGTTAAAATGTGGAGCTCTCAGTATCACTACGTGTATCCTTCTGTGGGCCAAGCTCTCATTCCCTAACTTCGTGGGAACTGGACTCCTAAATTCTGTGTGGGCCTGTGCAAAATTGCAGTGCCATTGAAGTGCTTCTGCCAGTGACAATGAAGAACAGATGGGCTCCAGAATCCCTGAGGCTGGCTGGCATTTCTGGAGACCATCTAGCCCACCCCCTGGCTCAGAACAGAGTCAGCTGGAGCTGCTCAGCACTGTGTCCAGTTGGGGTTTTAATATCTTGAGAGTCCAGTCTCTCTGGGCAATCTGGCCCAGTTTAACGATCCTCATGGTAAAAGAAACAGTTTTCTTATGTTTAGAACATCTGCATGTCTGGAACCCTGCACAGGGTAAGCAGGTGAGGTCCTGTTCCATGCTGGGACTGTCCCCCCTTTAAGAAGGTGAGCTACAGTGAGTCAATGTTTTTTTGCCAGGGGATCCTTGAGGGTCCTCCCCTGGCAAGGTGAGAGCCAGCATTAGTGGGAGGTGGGACAGGGAGCAGCACAGAGGTGTCCCAGGTGGACTGGGCTGCACTGTGTCCTATCTCAGCCCACTGAACTCTGGGCCGCACCACCTGAGTACCTGGGATGCCCCTTTCCCTGCAAGGAAAGCCTCTTACTGCAAAGAGGCCCAGCAGCAACAGGAGCAGGGCCCTGTACCTTGATGTGCTCCTGCTTCCTGCAGTGCCTTGTGCTATCAGCAGGCTGAGAGGCAGCTTGGACACTGCCCTCCCACTCAGACATCCTCCTCGTAAACATCCTGTCCCGCTGAAGCCCGGTGCTGTCACGTCCTCACTGCTCCACAGCAGACATTGTTCTGGGTTTGATTCTCCTACACACAAAGCACACAGTTGTGCGTGTAGAAAGCCAGGCAGACAGCAGGACAGAACCTGGCAGTAACTCTTGGTTAAGCTGCTGACATGCCAAAAGTACTGCAGAGGAAGGGAGTTCTCTAAGGGTCTTAAAATTAACTAAAATCATCTGCTTGAGCCTCCTTGGAAAACCAATTCCCTCTCCTAGGCATGTTTAGCAGCTATACCTTACTCCAAGCAGGTGCAAACCTGGTTGTATGACAAGAAGAACCTTTGTAATCATGGAAAGTAGCAGAAGAGTGGACTGGAAGCTGAGCTGGAGTAAGTTTACACAAGCGGCAAGTAAAACACCCATCCCCAGTGAGTCAGGTCCGGCTGTTTCCTTCATTTCCTCCAAGGCTTGCTGGGAACATCCAGCGGTAACAGCCCTTCGTCTCCTTTCCTGCCCCTTGTTTACAGCTCTCCCTCGGGAGGGAGCAGAGTCCCAGCATCCAGCACTGTGTTTTCACTGCAGCACACAGGGAAGTGCAGACTCCCCCAGGCCTCAGCTCAGCTTCGGTACCGCAGTGCACTTGTTGCATTTGTAGGTGCCAGTGCCAGCACCTCCTCGAGCGACGGCAGCTGCTCGACCAAAAGAGGAAAAAAGGTCACATTTCCACAGTTTGCTCATGTTTTGGTTTTTTTTGTTTTTATCTTGAATACACCCTTATGATTGATGGAGGTTCTCTGTTCTTACAGCCATTGCTTTGGATTCAGTCCGGTAGGGCAGAAGGGATACACTGGAATATTACGCTGTTGGAGTGTGCAAACCATCTCTCGGGGATATGGCTTTGAGCTTCCCTGGTTCAGATGAAGGTGTATCTCATGCTCTGATTTCCCCACATGACAGCAGCTGGGGAGGAGCAGTATTTTTAGCTTTTGTTTCTTGCTTTACTTACAGGAAGTCCCTCATTTGTGGAAGTGAGCTTGGGCCGGACTTAGTCTGGGAATCTGCTTCCGTGCCAGCTATAGGTGCAGTTTTAAGGGTGAACTCCTGCTGTTGTCTGGCAGAGCCCTCACTTATCACAGGTGTGCAAGAAACTGTGAACTTCACATAGACAAGTACTGATTTCTGGAATCTTCCCTGAAATTTGTTCAAGGATGTGTCCAAGTGCCTGTGACAGAAAGGCTTAGGAAAATGCAGAGTTGGGAAAGTCCTTCAGATGATATGACCAGAGATGCCTTCCTATGTAAAACTGGTTATAAACCCACATAATCTGAGTTAATAATAGTAGCACTGAGACAAAACTCATATTGTCAAAGAGCAAGTACATCCCAAGAGAAGCAGGCACAGACTGAAAAGGGTTCTCAAGTGCCTTCTCCCCTGGGAATCCCAAATAGCCTGCAGCCAACAAGTGACCTAGATACAACGTGTTTGCTCCTACAGAATAAAACCAGGAACAAAATAATCCTCTAAAATTATATATCTTTATAATCCTTATTCAACTTCATTTTTTTTTCATACAAAAAGGATTAAGGACTCCTTGTACAAATGGAAACACCTGCATAGTGTTTCCTGCTCATCAGTAGTATTTGGCAACTTAGCAATTGAATTTTCAGTGAAATAGGAGCAAGCTTTTACATTTTTACAAAGACTTTCCTCAGCCAAATTTGCAGAAATTATATTTGATATACCTAATGCAGTTTAACACCACCCTCCTTCCTTCCTGTTGAATATATGGCTTTTTAAGCCCTATTCCCACCTGATTAATATAGAGAGATCTATATTGAAGTGTCCCTGCAGGTAAATAACACGAGTTTGAGATAGAGGGTTTTTTTTCCCCAAAACACAAAGCTTGAACTAGTATATGGAAAAGATGGTTTATGACTAAGAACATAAATAAGGACATTTTTTGTAGTTTACATTGAATGCCAGCAATAGGTGTCTTTTACTGAGTAAAACTATTGCAGTGATTTCTGGCCTGTTGTCCACAAACATCAGGAGACCTAGGAAATACAAGGTAATATCTGTAAACAAGGATCCAAAAAATAAATACAGGTTAGAAAACTCAGTGCTTAAGATGTACTCATTCCCCCAGTTGGACAAGGAGAAAGACAGGAAAGCTTTTAAAGGGCTTTGCCGCTACTTCCTCATCAAAAGTTTTAATTCTTGGTAATCCAGACTCACAACACTGATCTTACTATCCAGAAGTACCACAAACAAATTTTGAAAAACCTTAATGCAAGCTGGTTATGCAAACATTTCCAAGCAGCTGTTCTTGCACAGCAATCCACATAGGCAATTCCAAGCTCAGTTACAATTTTAAGGAAATCTTTGAGATTATCCTTTTTCCCCTGTGAGTTGATCCATGCAAAGGATACCCCAGTTGCTTGTTCCTGGCAGGTGTCTCTCACAGACTGAAATCCTCTGTTGCAGCTCCCAGGGAAGCTTTAGGAGGCAGCTCTTGGTTTCCTGTTGGTGCTTTCAATTTCTGTGTTTTGTGACTCTGAACACTGCAACAAAGCTATTTTTTCCCCCAATCCCTCTGTGATCTCCCATACACGTGGCCTTCAAAGGTCTCTGAGAACAGCTGAGAGCTTTGTGGGCTGCAGCGCTGGGGAGCAGCAGCTTCCTGAGGATATTGCAGTCTGGTCCAGGCAGTGAGGCTGCTGTGGTGTCTCCAGCTGTCTGGGATCCAGTTCTTCAGATCCCTGTCTTGAATATTGCCTCCCCTGCACAGGAGACTAATTTGTTAACAGCTTTGCTCCTCTGTGCTCCTCTCCTGGGGCTCCATCCAGAGCTCAGACTGTAATTCATAGCCTCAGTTCCTTAAAGCTGTCATTTCCTCTCTTTATTCCTGCAATATTCCTGATCCTACAGGCATTTAAGAACCAGATACTCCTTGCAGATTGGTGGGGTGGATGGCCTGTGAATTTGGCCTCTTGGGATGGAGAAAGTTGGTGGAGATGAGCACACAGACAAAGGGGAATTTGCCAGCGTCGTGTCCAGCTGTCCTTCCTGCGCAGTGGCCGCAGAGGGACAGGGAGCTGTGCAGAAGATAATTGCTTGAATAAGATGCAAACCTGAAGCAGAGCCCTAATGCTGTGTCTCGGTGCAGTAAGTTGTTTCCCAGCCCACTCCCTACACACCTCTCCCTTTCACATCCACATGCAGGTAATTGCTGGATTTGAGTCTCTGACAGACTTGCTGCTTGACTTTACCTGCAGCTCACTGACTGATGTTTCCCTTCCTTAGGAGTGAGAAAAGGCTTAAATAGAGAGGATATATGATCCATTTTCTTCTTTTCCTCTTTGAGAAGTCCAGGAGAAGACTACTAAGATTCGTAAAATTCTTACACTCCATTTGCTAAGGCAAGAATTTAAGCAAAGTCTTCCTCTGAACTTTTCTGGCATATATGGGTGTTCATGGCAATAACTTAACTTAGGGGGGTGTATGACACTCACAGCCCTCTGTAGAAACGATGCTGATAACAAATCAATTCACTACCAGAACAACCAGCACACTTCATTCTGCCTTTCTGTTCTGTTTAGGCTCAGGTAGGCCAGTTACCCTGTGGTCATTTCTTCAGGGTTTCTGCTCAGCTGTGAGCCCTAGAAGTAAATCATTGTAAGGAAAAGGTGGAATACAGACAAAATCACATCACTGCAGATGTGATTTATTTAGATCTTACTCAAGTCCAGAGCTGCTGAAATGGTTAGGACCTCTGCAAAACTGAGCATGGAGAGCAAAAACAAAAGCAGTGTGCTGCCTTCCAGGGGCTTGAAATATATTCCTCTGGTTCCAACAGAAAGGGAGCTGCCTGTGTGCAGGTTTTTGCCCATGCAGGCAGCTGCAGCACCTCAGTGTGAGCAGCAGAGGTGAGAGGATGACACTCAGCTTTCCCCTGTGCTCACAACAGCAGCACTGCCTCTGCCCCAACCCCATCCAGTCATCCCATCTCTGCCCACTGGGAAACCACTGTGCTAGGAAGCTGCCTCTTCCTAGATGAGATCCTCATAGGATAATGTCCGTCCAAGTGGTGTTGCTTGTGGTGTAGGTCAGTAGTGATGACTCAGACCAGCCCTCTTGTTGGTTAGACACAAAATCCAGTCCACAAAAAGATTAATTTGTCCCATTCACCAATAAAGAGGGTTCCATTAATTAAAAAATTGCACACAAAAGTTCCTAGTTTGTATTAAGATCCTCTTGAATGGCTGTGAAATCAAGCACTTAAAAGTACAGAAATCCCAAATTCTCCCTGTGACCTGGATGTAGCATTTGGGGTTTTGTTTTGGCTTTTATTGGTAGATAAAATTGCACATAACAGTGTAACTTTTAATGAGATTAGTACAGTAATTTCTCATCAGCTTAGTTTTTGCAGAGGAGCATAAACAGCTGAAATGTGCCTCCCTCCACATTCAGCATCTTTGCATGAGTCCTTGAGGTGGAGGTCTCCAAGCCTGGAGTGCCCCCTCATGGGAAGCTGTTCCAGATGCTGTTTCCTGCATCCAGGTGGGAGGACATGAACACAAACACCCTCCTGTTTGTTGCACATGCTCCTGTATGTTGGTGAGGTCAGTACAGCATCACACCAGCAGGTTTAAAGAACAACTTGGCTTTCCCTCTCAGTTTTTGTGAGGCTCAGGCAGGCAATTGCACTGGATTACTGTTAAGGCTTTTTCTGAGAGTGCTCAAGAAAGATCTATCATTCTATTGTAGTTTCAGCTTTTTAGAATAAAATATTAGCCACAGGAGGAAATGAAAGCCCCTTGTTCAGCTCAAGGCACACAAGTGAGGCTGGCACACATAACAGGGAGGTGTGTGGGGCTGCAGACTGGCTCCTCACTCCATGTCTGCATGGTGGAGATCAGGTTTAGCCCAAAGAAACCATCCGTAGTCTTTTCCTGGACAGAGAAGGGTTGTCAGGCACTGGAAGGAAATCCTACTGCCTGGAATACTCTCCCCTGTAGTGCAAATTATTTCTCCTATTTATGACGGCTACAGGAGAAACCCATCTCCTCTAGGCTTTGCCTGATATCTCTTCATCCCCTACCCTGCAGAAGGTTGGTGGCCCTTGATCTCCTACCCCATCCTGACATCCTCAACATTCAGTACTAACCACACATCACTGAACCCTCAACCTGCTCCAGAAACTGCCAGGAGGTCCTTGTTGTGGTTCTCCAAAACACCTGCAAGGTGCTGGTCCAGCATAACAACTCAGCAGGGTCTTCCTGGAGAGCATAGCCATGGTCACAGGCATCTTCTGTGGGACCAAGCCCTTCCTTTAACCAAACTTTCATGTAGTTGCTGATCACTTGCTAGGCCTTGAAAATGCCTGTTCTCTACTGGACCGTGGTAACACAAGACCAAACCCCAGCTAGGCCACCCATGGCAGCTTTCCTGGAGGCCCTAAACTTAACATGGATCCTGTAATGGCCCACAAATTTAATACCAGAAAAATGAGCACAGGTTCCTGAAGTCACCTCTGTGATGTTGGCTTGTTTTATACCAAGAGGGGATTCCCCATGCCCCTCACTCCACTCAGCTATGGAAAAAGAAGCCTTTCTCATATGATGGATTGTAAAGATGGATGTGAGCTTGGAGAGAAACACACCCATGCACTTGGCCTGGGGAAGTATTGTTTGGAGCTCTGATGCCATTGTTGGAAGGGCAGACTGAAGCAGGATTGTTTCGTTTCAGCAAAAACACAAAGGCTTTTGTCCTCAGCACACAGAAAGGGCCTTTTTTGTGATTCATACTGTGAGATATTTTTAGTTTTCTTTGCATTTAGTTAAGAAAGGCACAAGAATAATACTGCAAATAAAAGCAGAATGACCCTATAAAAAGAGTGGGTTTTCTACCTTAGAAAAACACTCACTGCATTGCATGGGATGCTCAGCTTGTAGACTGGCTGAGGTAGGGACCACATCCTTGTCCTGTGCTCAGTGTGCTTTTGTCACAGAGAGATGACTCTTCTGACACCTCCTGGGACAGGTGAGTTGCAGCCCCCCAAAAAAACCTGAGAGAATAAAGAAACAAAGACCAAAAAGTTTAAAAGTTAGCTTTTCACAACTGCAATTCAGTGGATATGAGATCTAGATATTTGATGTTCCATTCCCTGGACCTCCTTCTTGTTGGTGATTCTCAAAAAACCAACATGATCTCCCCAGGCCCATAGTACTTTTGTTATCCAAATGCTAAACTTTTTATTCTTATCATTTATGCCTTTAATGGTCTGTGTGATATGCATGGGTGCTTTTTACTTTATTTTGGAAAAGGATAGATGGATCTTTGCTTTCCAAAGGCTGAGGGATAGCATGACAGTCCATCTACTGAGAGATGTCTGGTTAACTTCTCAAGCTTCTAGTGCAGGGGGTTTCACAACCTCCCACATAATCTATTCCAGTGCAGGCTTATTCAGAGAACATTTTTGCAACACCCAGCCTTTTTCTTTTCTCCTGTCTTCTTTCCTTTCATGGAAATTAAGTTGATTAGATCCTATTGTTGTCCTTCCTGCAGTGTAATCGCTGCCTCTCTTCACAAAAACCTCTCATGTGCTGCAACTGCACTATCATGTCCTGCCCTATTTCCAGCCTCCTGTAGCCTCAACAAACCCACTTCCCCCACTTCTTCCCAGAGATTGTTTTCCAAACCTCTTATCCCTGCAGATGTTCTCCCGTGCCCGTGCTCCTGCCTGGACCGGGTTTACTGTTCCCTGCCTGGTTTCAGTTGTGGTTTCTTGCTTCTCTCCGGCCACGTGCTGGTGCCGCCCAGCCTGGGCACCCCCTTCCCCATTCCCAGGGGCTTCCCGTGGTGGGCCAGGATTCCTGCTGGGGCTGAGCAGGGATGCTGCGTGGGCGCAGGGGGGGAACCTCAGAACCAGGTGCTGGGAGCAGGATGCCAGGCCCCCAGGCCCTGTCGAGCACAGGAACCAGCATGTGCAGTTCACTCCTCGCACCTCCCAGCCCTGCCAGGAAACCAGTGTCCTTGCCTTGTGGGGTTTGTCCTTAATTCCCAGGTTCAGGAAAGTCACCAGCTCTCTCCTCAGGTGTTCTCGGATCATAAAATCACAGAATGGTTTGGGTCTGAAGGGACCTTAAAGATCATCCAGTTCCAACCCCCTGCCATGGGCAGGAATACTTCCCACTAGCCCAGATTGCTCAGAGGCCCATCCAACCTGGCCTTGGATACTGCCAGGGATGGGGCAGCCACAACTTCTCTGGGCAACCTGTGCCAAGGCCTCACCACCCTCACAGGAAAGAATTTCTTCCTAAGATCCAATCTAAACCTCCTCTCTGTCAGTTTAAATCTATTACCCTTCGTCCTGTCACTCCAGGCCCTCAGAAATAGCCTCTCCTCCATCTTTCATGTATGACCCCTCTAATATTGAATGGCCACGTAAGGTCTCCCTGGAGACTTCTCTTCTTCAGGCTGAACAACCCCAACTCTCTCAGCCTTTCCTCATAGGAGAAGACAATTTCTGATTCATTTCTGGCAATCTGTTTTGGAGATTCTCTTAGGAGGCAGAGGTCCCCATCTTCTAAGGGATGTGAGCATTTCAGGATCTCTTAGAGAGGAAGGGCTACCAAAAAAACAGGTGTAGGTCCTGTCCTTCATTTTAGGAGCACCAGCTTCCAGGCTCAGTTGGAGTTAACCAGCCCCACATTTGGCTCTTGACAGTCCTTGTATCAGCTGTTTCAGTGGACAGCAGTGGAAGTCCTGGTCACATGCAGTGTTACAGAATCAAATCCTTACAGTCTAAAGACCCCAAACAGTACATAGAGAGCTCATTATTACCAATATTCCAATTAATACTTTATTATAAAATTGACACATTCTGCAGTTGTTTATTTTACTTTCTTCCCAACACCCCTTTCCCCGTAAATCATCCTTTTGTCCTTCCCATGTTCCCAACAGATTCAGTGACCCCAAACCAAGTATTTTGACCTTCTGCCTGGACAAGATATTACATAAACTGCCAAACAACATGGATAAGGGCAGTCTGTCCCTGCTGATCCTCCCATGGGGATGCCAGTGAGAGCTCTCTGCTGTACCTGGCCACTGATCCCTGCCTATAGGAGCCTGCTCATCTCTGATTCCTCTAAGACCTTGTTAAATTTGATTGAAATGAGCCAGTTGGTTACTCTGTGACAAATGGGGGGCTGACAATGGGATAAAAAAGCCTAATTTCCTCAAGCAACTAGAGAAAAAAAAACCCTTTATGAGCCTGTCAAAAGTAGAGAATGAAATTAATCCCCAAATCTTAAAATACATATTTTTTTAAAAATCAAATAGAGTATCTAAACTGTCTTCTGCTTTCAAAACTTCTGGGGAGAAGTGGACACTCTTAGGTGGTGAATCATCCAACCTATTTTAGTGTCGACCTTAGGAGTAGGTGAGTCATGCTCTAGAAATGCTTCTTCAATATTTGAATAAGGGGCTCTTCTTATTTTGTTTGATGGCTTATTCTCAGTTTGTTATTACTTAAAATATTTTGAAATTATTTTTTGTTTTAATACAGAGTTAATCTTCGCTCAAGATGAGGATGGGCTGATAATACACCTTTCTCTGAGAGCTGTGGTTTCAAAAATTCAGCAGTTTCACTCCTGTGATTTTGCAGTTTGTCTTCTGGAAGGGATGTGTGGAATAGAAACAATGAAGAAGTAAGACCAAAGAAGATAGAAGCCCAGAGGCAAAAAAGGTGAGCAAGTCAGAATCTGAAACAACAGAGTCAGGAAACACAGATGATGTGGTTTCTGTGAAAAGCTTGTTTGTTCAGTTAGAGGGAAAGGGAATTTGTGTATGCATGGCTGCAGTTTTACTAGCTGCATGTAAAAAAAACGCAGATTGATTTATTGGATACACTATCCAATATCATATTGTTATATTAGATACTATAGGATATCAGGATATACTGTTACAGGTTTTATATGTGTGTGTGTGTGTTTGTGCTGTTGTAGACTCCAAACCTGCGTGCAGAGGAACTTGACAGAGAAGAGGCTGTGCATGGACAGTGGTAAGGGGTGGGATAAACAATTTTTTTCTTCCATCCAGCAATCCAGCTTTTAAAAGTTGCATCTTTAACCTTTCAGTATAGCCGAGAAACACTTGCAGATGGCAGCTGGCTCCAGGGATGATCCCCTAATGTAAGGATCTCTGTCTACAAAAGTTGAGGATGATTTTTTTCAGTTGTCTGAGTTTTCCCTGGAGACCCTTTCTGTATCAGGGCAGCACGTGCAGCTGCTCTATTTTGAAACAAGTATGCTGTGCCATTGCTCCTGCAATATGTGCCAGGAGTTTGCTGTTGCTTTCTCTGTCTTCCTGCTTTTTCTTGCTTCTTGCTGATTCCATCAGCGTAGGATCATGGAAGGAGCAATGTGGGAAGTGGTTTAACTTGGCAGGACATAGACCTGAGCAATAATTCATGTCCCTGTGTGGTTGTCTCCCAGCCCTAGGCCAGGTTTAGAGGTTCTTCATCACAGACATTTTATTCTCTGTGTTCTATTTGCTTTTCCCTCCCATTGAGCCTTTGTTAAGAGCAACTATTGAGCTGCATTCAGTGTCCTTTTTTATATGGGTTCTTATGAAAGCTGTATTTTAAACCCTATGTTGTATAAAATGTGTCTATAGACTTGACTTATGAAAAGGGTGATAGACTAAAGCATAAAACTAATTTAATTGGGCAGAAGACAGAACTTCATTTAAAATAAATGAACACACTCTTATTACCCAAGTAAGCACCACCCAAGCTATTCATGGAATGGCATTTGCCTTTAATAAATATTTTCCACAATACATGCAAGTTATTCATGGAATGGAATTCATTTTTAATAAAAGTTTATGTAATGCTGACCACTCGGGACTCCTAGGAATTAAAGATTTAATAAGAACATGGTCTGTCATCTTATTTTTCTTGATTTTTGACCTCAGAGCTATAAAAGTGGTTGTAATGTGAGGTTTTTTCAGTTCCAGACCCCTTGAACATTTCCATTACATGTAGGCCGTACTAATAAGTCTTTGTTTTTCTTTGTGACCTCTCATAGATCCCTCAGTACTTGTTTTAATGCCCTCCCAAAAAAATCAGTGGCTTGTAGGTTGAAAGTTTGGGGTATATTTGTGATGACTTCTATTATGGGGGGGTGGGGTACTATTTTAAAACAAAATATAATTGTGGGTGCTTTCATTATTGCAGGTACTGATGACAAATCCCCTTTGGTCCCTTTGGCTGTTCAGCCATTAATCTTTGGGAAAAGTGAGTGGCAGGAGCCTTTGCTGGAAGTGGCTGTGGGGCACAGCAAGCCTTGGCCAGGAGGAGCAGAAGATATTTTGCCGACTGAGTCATGGTATTAAATGTGCTTTTTACAGTGAAATTCATTGTAAGAGTGAAGCAGGTCATTGGTATTTAATCTGAACCAGAGTTGTGCAACTTCATGTGACTCTGCAGGAGATGGGTTCCCGTGATAGGTTCCTCATCCAGGGCTATGAAGCTCTTCCAGGCAAAACATGTCCTTGTGGTTATGCCTTTTCTTTCATTTCTTCTTGCTTACGTAGAAAACCTGTATGTGTAACAATTTGAAAGGCTTTTAAAATTTCTTAAATAAAATTATTCATTGATAAGTAAGTGCCTCAGTGGAAATACACATATTTTATTTTAATACATAATATGTAATTAGAAAACCATGTAATAATCTATTCTTTGAAAGAGAAAGGAGAATTCTGAACTAAGTTTCATGGTGGCTGATTTTGCAGCAGTATTGTGTGCAATATTTTTGGTTTATACTGCAGGGCAGGGGTGACAACTCTTTCTATTTTTAATTTTGTGTCTTAATGATAGAGATAATTCACAGTAGTTTCTTTTGTATTTTTCTCAGTTGGCTGTGCCTAATGCAGTCAAACCATGAAATATGTATATTATTGTGGGATGAGACGCTTACAGCATGAAATAGATCATCAGTATTTAAACTCTGACCTCTAAGTTTGATAAAAAAACTTCTTAGATCAGGTGTTTAGGTGTTAATAATAATAATAAAGACACAAATAATAATAATGATAAAGACACAAAGCTGAACTTTCATTTCACTCTTTCTACTATCAACTTTACAATGGATTTAAAATATTTGTTCTGAAGTGTTTCTTGCTTTCAGAAAAAGGCTATATGCAGTTTTTTTGCAAAGGAAAATGTGAGATTTACAGCTGAAATGGAAGTTTATATGCAAAGGCATTTTTTTCCCTGTTTTATTTATGTATTAGTTGGTTTAGGTAGCACTGCTTTATCTAAATCTTGTACAGTATTTATTAGTGAATGTTAACTACTCAACAGTCCTAGGAGTGGAAGCAGTGGGAGAGGAATGGAGCCTCGGTTCTTCAGCTCAGAATATAATAATATAAAGACTTCACATTGGATCCCATTTAAATTAAATAACTTATTTTCCTACAGAACTTCTAGCCAGTTTTCTTCCCTGTCTATTTAATTTTTCAGGGTTGATTTGGGAGTTTTTTTAACTGCTTGTCATTCCTGGGTGCAATTCTGAGATATAAAAAGGCAGTATTTGCACAGCTTTTTGATTTCTTGGGACAAACCCTAAATATAGAAGGGGTGGCTTTGTCCACAGTTTCAGCTGCTGCAGTTGTCATTGTCATAAAGGCAGGAAAACAGACCCAAGTGCACCATGGAAGGTAAGATGGTTTGTGGTTGGACTTGATGATCTTAAAGGTCTTTTCCACCCTAACACATTCTGTGATTCTATGGCTGGGTGGCTTTGTTTTCATTCTTGTTTTTCATTGCGCCCTTCCAGTCCCTGAAGGGAGCCTACAAGAAGGATGGAGAGAGTGTATTTGAAAGGGCCTGGAGTGACAGGACAAGGGGCAATGGCTTCAAACTGACAGAGAGCAGGTTTAGATTGGGTATCAGGATGAAATTGTTCCCTGTGAGGGTGGGGAGGCCCTGGCACAGGTTGCCCAGAGAAGCTGTGGCTGCCCCATCCCTGGAAGTGTTCAAGGCCAGGTTGGATGGGCCTCAGAGCAACCTGGGATAGTGGAAGGTGTCCCTGCCCATGGCAGGAGGTTGGAACTGGATGATCTTTAAGGTCCCTTCCAACCCAAACCATTTTATGATTCCCTGTGAGAGCTTAGATCACATGTAATTCCACAACACTCATGAAAAGCAAGAAAATGACATAGTCTTTAGAAGCCACAAAATACCTGTGAGTCAAAAAACCCTGCCCAAGGAAGGGAAAACTCTTCACTCACAAGTAATTTCTAAATGACTACACAAATGTGGGAAGTCACACATTTGTCCTTGGCGATCTCCAATAAAAGTCCCGTGTCTCTGCAGTTTCTCTTAGGTTGAGAAAATAGGTGCTGCAGCTGATGGGAGAGTCTCTGCTAGAAGATGACAGGCTGTTGGAAAAGACAGTGAGCAGAACACTGCACTGCATGGCAAGGAACAAGGCTGGCAGCCACATATTTCTGGCATGAGCCAATTTTTTCTTTTCTTGGAAGAGCAGACACAGCCTTTGGCCAGTGAGGTATGTTTTAGGTGTGACTCCCAGTCACGATTCTGTTTAAATAGACTTAATTTTAAGATTTTTCAAATTTTCAGATTTTCTTTTAAATTGATAGGTAAGTCAAGGGTTAAAACAAAACGGGACTTTTATTAGACTCGGTGCATTGTCTGGGAGAACCTGCAGGACTCACCCTGCCTGCCCTCTCCTGCAGGTAAACAAACCAATGGATCCTCCTCTGTGGCTTTAACAGCACCGAAACGTTTCCAGCCCTCCACGGAGGGGGAATGAATATGCTCAATTTCTTTCCTCGGGCCTGAAAGTACTTCTGGGCTGGTTTACCTTTGTCAGTCAGCTTGGCTTCTTGGGGACCATTTTGCCCTCTTTCTTTTCATTATGTGTGGCAGAGGCTGCGGCTCCATGTTAAAAATTCTGCAGTTTAAGAGATTCTCTTTTCTCGTTTCACCCCTTTCCGCACACACCCCTCCCACGTGCCACAGCTGAATGCCCTCCCCATTACAGGCACTCAATGGCAGGTTTCACTGCCCTGTTCTAAGTAGTTCCCTGTTGAAAAGGGGACAAAGGATGGATGTTAATGTGCTTTTGCCTGGCAGTCAGGAGTGGGTTGGGGTTTGGTAAGCACTGGCCTGCTGTCAGAGCGATTGCACCATAGAGTTCACCTTCAAAAACACCACCATTTGAAACAGAGATGCCTCATGTTTTCCCTCTTAAACCTATTTTATGCCTCCTAAATCCATAATAAATGACCTAAAGAACAGGCAGTTGCCTTGGATGCCTTTCATACTAGAGCCTGCAGTCAGTCCAGCCCTCAAACAATTGCCAGTTTTCTGGTTTGTCTTTGCTTTGGTTTCCACAAAATATCTGTGACTGATCTCTGAACATGACATTTCCCTGTTGGTTCTGCCCAGCCAGACCTCGCAGCAGCAAGTCCCCAGGGAAAGAGTAGCATTCTTGCACTCTCAGCTACTCCTGTGCTTAGTGCCAGACCACTCTCCCAAGGCTGCATTTCTAAAGGGATAACATGCCAGTATTCCTCATAATCTTCTCATGATCTTCCACTCCACTCTGGTGAGACCCCCCCTGCAGTGCTGCCTCCGGCTGTGGGGGCCCAGCACAGCAAGGACATGGAGCTGTTGGAGCGAGTCCAGAGAAGGGACACCAAGGTGATCAGGGGGATGGAGCAGCTCTGCTGTGAGGAAAGGCTGAGAGAGTTGGGATTGTTCAGCCTGGACAAGAGAAGCTTTGGGGTGACCTAATTGTGGCCTTCCAGGACCCGAAGGGAGTCCACAAGGAAAAGGGAAAGAGACTACCTCCAAGGGCCTGGACTGACAGGATAAGGGGGAATGGCTTCAAACTGACAGAGAGGAGGTTTAGACTGGATATTGGGAAGACGTTCTTCCCTGTGAGGGTGGTGAGGCCCTGGCACAGGTTGCCCAGAGAAGCTGTGGCTGCTCCATCCTTGGAAGTGTCCAAGACCAGGTTGGATGAGGCTCTGAGCAACCTGGGATAGTGGAAGGTGTCCCTGCCCATGGCAGGGGGTTGGAACTGGATGATCTTTAATGTCCCTTCCAACCCAGACCATTCTATGATTCTATAAATCTTTTCTGTACTTCTGCCTTTGGATGGATCAAATTCTTCATCTAATAATTGTCCCCACCATTCCTTGACTACAGCAGCACTTGCTTGGGCACCCTATGGAACGAGTGTGTCATATACCTCAGTAAGTGATTTTAATTGACCAAATGGATTAATTGCTTCTGAATAAATCTGTAGATTGTTAGTTATACTTTCCATCTTTAAATTATGCATTAGAATTACTACCTGTCTTTTGTTAGTGATCAGTATTTAGCGTGTGTCTCAGGCACAATATTTCACTATTATATAATGTGTCAGCAGAGGGTGACTAACTGGAATTTAAGCTCTTTTTTTTTTTATGTGTATCATTAAGTAGCATAGAAGTAGCATCTTCCAGTCATTTCAGTTTGTGCTTTGGATTGAGGCATACCCACATTCTGAAATCTCTGCTGCCTGCTCTTTGTCTGGAGCAGGAGGCTGCAAGGGGCACACATCCAGACACAGGACCTTCCTGCTCATAATAAAGCCCCCACTTCTGGGTGCAGGAGGAGGCACCAGCTGGTTTTAACCTGCTACTCTGAACACAAAGAGAAGATACTTTTCCCACAGAGGGCAAAGACAAGTTCAGGGTAGGAGTTTCTGAGGGCACAGGAGGAAATCACTCCTGACTCCCCATCCCCTCCCTTGTGCTGCCTGTGGAACACACTACTGGGGATGGACAAGAGAAAGTAGGAGGGAGCATCCCAGCAGCAAAAGGCTCAAAAGGGAAGAAGACAATGATAACCAAAGTCTATCCGTGTTAAATCAAACCATTTGTGCCAAGAAAACTTTCATGCCAGAGCAGCAGCCCATGAGACAAAGCCAAGCTGCTACAACTTGGTTTTGACTTTTCTTGGTTTACCCAACCTCCAAGTGTATACTAGAGGGATGAAAGGATCAGGAAGAGAGGCTGAAGCAGTCAGGGCTACCCTGAATCCCAGGGTACAAATGTGACCACACCACTGTTTAGCAGAGCAGAGAAGGTGCCCCTTGGTTCTTCTGCCACAATTCTTAGCATTTCAAAGCAAGCCGCGTGTTGCTTTAAAAGGCCAGCCCATCATCTCCACAGCATTTTCTAAGCACATTTTGCATACTTCTGGCTGCTCCTGGCTGTTGTCCTGACAAACTTTGATCTCTGCAGGACTTGACCTTTCAGTGTACAGGCTGGCAAAGCTGCAACAGGTAGGCAAGCTGAGAGAAACCCTTGCTGCTTTACCTGCCAGCAGACTTGTTCAGGCTCCCTGCATTCGGCTTCCCCTGATTCCTGCAGAAAGGTGCAGCTAAACCAGACACAACAGCATTTCCCTTCTTGTGAAGTTTCCTAGGCCTTGTTTCTTGCATAAGTAGTAGGAGAGGTGGCTGCAGAGAAGTTTAACAACAGCTGCCAGGCATTTAAAGCAATCCCTCATGATTGTGCTTTCCCATTTGGTACCAGTGATGATTAAACTCATCTAAGCCTC